GCACTGGGCGCTGCCCGCGGCCCCCTCCCCTCAGCCTGCGCCCCTTCCCGCTTTCCCCCCTCAGCCCCTACATCGCCCGCTCCCCTCCCGCCTTGTCGCCCCCTTCCCTCTCCACCAGCTCCTTTGTGCTGCCCGTCCTGTCCGCGTCTATCCCCCTCGCCCCGCTTGCGTCTCGCTTCGCCCCACCCTCATCCCCTCCCTCAGCCCTTCAGCTCCTGCCTCTTGCCTGTACCTCAGCAACCCGGGGGAGATCGTCCTCTTCCTTAAACCTAGCTCGGCTCTTCCAGTTCACCTGCACCCCATGCCAGTCCTCCACCGACCAAGGCAGCCCTCTCTGCCTTGTCCCCCTTCAGAAGGCATCAGACGGTCCCCTTTTGGACCGGGAGAAGCGATGGGGGGGAGGTGACAGTCCCTGCTTGGAGGGAAGCGGGAACAGACAGATCCCAGTTGTGAACATTAAAGAGCAAAACAGAGCCGCCCCCTTCACAAATACAGTTTCCATCTCCTAAAGAAGACGATGCAAAGCAAAGCCCTGTCATGTGCATCAGAGCTCCTCATGCGGGGAAGGGAAGCGTTTGGAGCTTGTCCATCTCTTTCATACTTTTTCTTAACGAGCTAGATGAGGAAAATCTACCCCGTTTCTGTTTCTCTTTTTGTTTTTCCAGAAAAAGGGAGAGAGAGAGAGGTTCATATTGAAGCCAACCAGCTGCGCTTCTGAGTGGGGAAACTGGACTGATCTCATGGCTTGCTTTTTATTTCATTAATACTTCATTATCTCTGAAAATGAACCTTTTGTGAAGCTCTTCTCCTAACTCTCCTTATTCCTCTTTCACGAGGTGGCTGCTGTGCAAGGGAAGAAATGATGGCATGAAGCAAATGACTCCAGTATAAAGCAATCTGCTTTGCCAAAGTGCCCAGTGAGCAGCACTGTCACTTTAATAATTCCAGGTCAAGGGATTGCTTTCCTCGTTTTCAATCCTCTCTTTTAATACATGGGAGGATCAGAGGGACATTAAAGACCGTAAGGCTGGGTGGCTTGCAGATAATAAAAATGAAAGTGACTGGCCAGTGACTTCTGTTGGGTAAGAGGGTGATATTTGAAGGCTGTTGTCTGGTGAGGAAAAAGGGACCTTTTCACTCTGCTTTGTAGTCACCTAATATAGCTAGCAAAATTCATTCAAGAAGTGAAAGAAGTTAAAGAGTCACTTTGGATTGTTTTTGTCTTCCTCCATATTTGGATTATTTGGGCATTTTTGTCCTGCAAATAATATGTTTTTGAGCATGTACAGGTGGAGTATTAAGACAGCTGCCTAGAGATGGACTGTGCCTTAATTGTACTACATAAAATCTTTTAATTTTCAAACTTTGCTGCCAGAAGAGGACTTATAATAAGGTTTTGTATTGCCAAGGAGTATTTACCCTTGTATTTTTATAGATTCAAATATATTTTAAAGAAATTGAAAAAGTCTCTTAAAGTCAAAAATCTTCTTTTTTTTCCTTTTTTTTTTTTTTTTCCTTATTGTTGGAAGCATCGGAAGTCCAATACAAGAAAACAGCAAGTATTGATAGAAATGAAGACTGAAGCTACATTTCCTAACTGAACTTTAAAAGTGTTTTGCAATAGATAGCCAGTTCCTGACCTCGCAAAGTGTTTCAGTAGCACATCTTTAATATCTTTAAATAAGTGCTTGCAACCAGAAGTAGGAAGAAGAATGCCAGTCAAGAAGAAAGGTGGGCTATGAAGCTTCATATCTCGTATTGCGTCTTCATTTGGTTAGATTGTTGATTTTTAGTACTTACAATTTCAAATCAGCAGTGTTTTAATGGGGGGTTGAAATTGTTTTTCCTTTGCGCTGAAAATGGGAGAAAAATGTGCATTTACAACAATAATTTTTAAAAGTATTTTTATGCCATATTTTAAGACTTGCATGTCGAATTTGGCCTCAAATAGTCATTTTGTAAAGCTCAGCCATCAGAGATCTTGAACAGACACCAAGAGAAAAGCTTGGCATTTAATTTTGTGAGAAGCCTCTCTTACAAACGCTAATGAATTTTAAAATCATAGGTTTAGTCTATTGTTTGTTCTTTACATGTTTGGCGGATAAACATCAGCCATCAGTAGCAGCATGAATAAATAACAAAGTTTCAAGGCTAATTTTAAATAAAAGTTATGAGATTTGTCTTTTAAAGGTGATTTGAACATGTTTTTTTTTTCAAATGTGATTTCAACTGATTTCCATGCTTTAATACAATATAAAAGTACTATCCTTATGAATGTAGTATGGCACCATTTAAGAAAAGATGACCAGCCTTTTTGCCCTGTCTCCTAAAGTTGGTGTTTACAGCAAATATAGAAGCAGCTTTGTTAAATGTGGTTTCCATTGTTCAAAGAAGAATTAGGGACTATATGAGAGCAAATTCTTACTCTGAAAAGACACGTAGACCTTAGTTTATTTCTAGTTCCTTTAAAATATGACACCTTTTTAAAATTTTAGAATATGCTAATAAATAAATGGCATGTGAAACTTTTCTGTTTGGCTCATCTGTCCAGATGTCCCTGGATCTGATATATCCCTGTATATGATGATACCAAAAGAAGGGGGAAGGAGCAAAAAGTGAATGTTACACAACCGAAAAGGGAGTATAGTCGATGTGACAGTGGATCCTTTTCCTTGTAGGAATAACCCTTCAGTATTAGTTAACATTTGCTATGTAAATAATGACAAAAACACACAGATTGCTAGAATTATTTCCATACAAAAACCAATACATGGGATTTTGTGTTTGTATTTTAATGGATGACAGTGTAGAAATGAATTTTAAAAACTGAAATGCATGAATGAATTGTATTGTCATTCATGTAATTACTTACAATTATGTGTAGTAAAGATGGGAACGTGTGTGGAGGAGTACCACCCCTTAATAATTCATCCTGCTGTGCTGGAAACGTGTCACCCTGATGTACTGGTGAGACTTGCATACTCTACCTGTTTACAGAAGGAAAATTAAGACTGTCTTTTCATATTTTAAGTCTTAATCATTGATTAGGTGATTTACACTAAGGATGTTTTTGTGCTGGATGTTTAGCTGCAATTCAGTTTCAAAATACTTGCTGCAGGGTTTTTGGGGTGAAATCTTACAGGCTTCTTTGTGCAGGAAGTTAGATTGGCAATCATAGCGGTCCCTTCTGGCCTCAAAAATCTGTGGATTTCCTGTTTGTCTCAAGTCAGTCTGGATCAGTTTTAATGTACTTTAACTCTTGTTCTGTTTTATGAGGATATGTATTTTGACAATTTTAAAATATAAACTCAAGAGACCCAAATATCCTCCTCAAAATACCTTGTCACATCAGTCAGTGTACTGAAGTTGCTACTGTAAATGTATTTGAGTATTAAAAGGATATTGTTAAAAATGTATTTAAGCATATAAATTGCAGGATTAAAAATGTTAGTGAACCAGCAACTTTATTATTATTATTATTATTATTATTATTATTATTATTATTTCAAATTACTCAAGTTGACTACTTCATGCAGTAGACTTTAACTTTCTAAATGCAATTAAAAGCATGCTGGCAACTTGATACATGCTACCATTTTTAAAAAATTCTGCTACTGTTACAAGTAATCCCTATTATTATCATGAATATTAGGGTGATTGAAGGGATTTTTCCCTGTTGCTTTTTTTCCCATTTATTTGCTTTATGCTTTTGACAGCTCTTTGTGTCTTAGCTATTTTCATATTTCTGTTGAGGATTTATTTTACCTTTCTGGTCTTCTGTATTTGGGGAGTTCATGTCTACTATCTTTCCCACCCATGCCATCTGTAGAAATCTTGATGGGATACTCTCTTCTAGGCTGTGAAAAAGTATGTATTTCAATAGCAGCATTAAGGACAGGATTATTCTTCTCCTTTTCAGCACTTTATGTATTGCTATTTTGGATTTGATCAAAATATTCTCCTAAAATCAGTATTGAGACAGAGAAGCCGGTAAAAATAAGTTTTAAAATTTCCTGAGATTTATCACTGGAAGTTGTTACCAAACACTGCTTTCTTTGACATTGACTGGTTCTGGGTCTTTCTAAAGAACAGTGAATGCATTTTGAGAATTTTCCTTTGAAAGAGCTCAGATTTCATGTAGCTTTGGACCTAATTTACACTTTACTGCTTGATACGATGTCTGCCATCTTGCCTTTAAAAGTCTAGGCCTGTTTAGTCAGGAAAAAAATAGTTTGTTTAATAGTAAAGACCATATAATTTAGAGGAAGCGATGATTTCTTATGGATGTGGAAAAAAAGGCTTGCTCCTCATTCTGATCATGTTTGTGTCAGTATGTGATTGCCCTTGCCTGACGTGCTCGAGTGAAAGGATTTTGTTTTCTCACTTTGTTCTGGAGGGAAATAAGGCTCTACATTCCCCAGAATATTCACAGAGAGGGCATGCTTGCTGTCAGTCTCAGGAAAATTTAAAAAAAAAAGAAAAAAGCAAGGTTGGAAAGGAAGAACAAAGTACCCTGCAGGCGTTGAATGTGGTCTCTTTGGATAAGGGCCAAGACATTGTATGGATTATTGCACTACTGCTGCGTGATTAAACAAATGGCTATTCACTTTGCCTTTTGGTTGCTCATCTTTCACTTAAGTACACTTAGAATTTTAAGTCAAACCAGACATTTGATCTTAGTTACAAAATTATTTGTTGGACAGCGGCTCTTAGAGGTGATATGGATGAACAAATTTGAGAACGAAAAAAATGATTTTAATTTTTACTTAAATGAATACAACTATTCATAACAAATTTATGGAGCTTCTTGAGGAAAGCCTTGCTTCAAAGTAAAATAGTACTACTATACAGAGGTGAAGCCAGGTTACTAAGGGAAGTCAGTTTTTTGTGTGG